CATAGATAAGACTCGATCTGCAAGTAATTACAAGAGCTCATAAGGGCTGCAGTCACAAGTGTAATACCTTTCCTGCGTAAGAACAATGATTCTTATCGTTTGACAAAGAGCAGACTATGGCCTGGCGCGGACTAAGCCAGAAGGGCCATTTTCCTTTGTAATGCTCCAACAACATGGCAAACATACGCTCCACAGATCCCAACACTGCCCTATGTATCATCACAGGTCTCTCCCTCTTCACTTCATCCCCGGCTGAGGATGAGTATTCTAGTTTGAAGCAATCCGGAAGTTGAAAATCAAGCTGATATGAGGCACCAACACACCAATCAAATAACCTACCAAGAGAAAACAAAAACAAAAAGGTCACAAGCCTAACCTGTAAAGTAGCACACTGTAGTTTCCTTTTCATTGAATCAGAAACTGTTATGTCTATCTTTGGGCCATAAAATGCTCCGTCTCCTTCATTAACTGCAGGAAACATCACAGTTAAGAATGGATGCATACTCTGTGAATAATAAGCATTAGAGGTAGCACACATACCAGCAATGACTTTCCAAAATCTTTTATCGCTTCTTCAAGATCTTTTTCAGCTCTATCCCATGTTTCCAAATCTCCAAGGTACTTCTCTGGCCTCTGAAATTGAAAATAACATGCAAACAATGGGTTTTAGGATCATATCCCAAAAACTGAATCAGATTTGGTAGAAGAAATCACCAAATATCCTACCGTTGAAAGCTTCAGCTCATAGGTAAGCCCAAATTTTGTGTAAACATAGTCAATGAAACCCAATACACCTTTCACTTCTTCTCTAACCTGCAAATAGACAGAATACTTCTGATAAAAATAAAAAAATTTTAAATGGGAGGATAAGGAACCCCAACGTTTCTGATCAGAATCAAATTATCACAAACCTGATCCTTTGTACAGAATATGTGAGCATCATCCTGAAAAAACAATTATGCAAATGTCATTTAGAGTAACAAATATGCAACATGCAAAGGGGTAAATAGAAAATTGACAAGTAAGCAAAGTGGTGAATTCATCACTTCAGCATGGCAAATAGGCTCTAATGTTAATACCAGAAGCAAGGAACTTTTCATGTCCTAATCTTAATGCCACTATCATTTAATGTTTTTCCCCCCAACTTACTCTCACAAAAACCTTATACCCATATAGTAGTTCGTCTCTTTATATAAACTCATCAATTTTTCTTACAATAAATTTTAAACAGCCCCCCCCCCCAAGAAAAAAAGGAACAAGAAAAGTCACAAAGGATGCAAAATACCTGTTGGAACCGTCGAACGCGGGTCAACCCCCCAAGAGCTCCACTTGCCTCATTTCGATGTAACACTCCAAAGTCAGCCAGTCTAATGGGTAATTCTGCATATACCATACCGAAAAAGGATGGTGTCATCAAAGATAAATGATATGACTATACAAGTTCATGAGAAACATTAATAAAGAAAAGCATTTATTCTCCATATCTAATGGGGTCAAACTGCACTACATGAACAGGGCCCCACCTTTATATGAGCGAACTCTGTGTTGGAACATCAAGCAATGACCAGGGCAATTCATAGGTTTCAGTCCGAATTCTTGTTTATCAATCTGCGCAAACAAAGAATAGATAAAGTCATTTCATTTGCAACCCAGAAGCTAGTTGCTAAATTAACAAATTCAAGTAAACTGTTGAGCTTTGCGTGCACTCTTTACATCAAACGTAAACAGATTTTCCTTGTAGTTTGCAGCATGTCCGGATGTTTCCCAGAGTTTCATGTTGTAGATATTTGGTGAAATGACCTGTCAACTTCAAGGTTAGTTTGGCAGCCCCTTTTCTACATACACTCATCAAGAATGTTCAAAGGTGAAATGAGAAGTAAGAAACACCTCTGTGTAACCCCTTTTCCAATATTCATTCTGAATGAATTCCATCAACTTCTTATAAACGCGAGTGCCAAGTGGGAGGAAGAACCAACTTCCAGGGCTGAGTTGGATGCATATATTATTAGTTTCGTCAAACACAATAAAGAGGAATTAGCACAATACTGTATGCTAGCACTGAAAGAACCTGAGTGGGTGACAAAAGAAAAGTTCCTGCTGTTGGCCCAACAGTCTGTGGTCATATTTCTTCGCTTCTTCAATAGACTTAAGATGAGCCTGAAACGGTAAAGACAGAACAACGGATATCAGACAGAGAGTAGCTGCCAAAAAAGTAGGAATAGTTTTACAAGTGAAGCAAAGTACATTCAGTTGCTTATGATCCGGAAAAGATATCCCATAAACTCTCTGCAGGCTCTCGCGGTCTCTGTTACCTCTCCAATAAGATGAAGACGCCTGAGATAAATTATAAGAGATTTGAGAAGCAGAAGAAAACAAACTCGGAATGTAATGTTGTGTCTTCTAAAGATAAGAGTAAACTCGGAAGAAAACATATTCACCTTTAAACACTTGAATGCTTTCACAAAGGAAGTATTTGGTATGTGCGGTCCACTACACAAATCAACCAAGGGACCACATCTGTAGACTGTAATGGTCTTTTCTTCAGGCAAGCCGTTGATGATTTCAACCTACAGATAATTAACAGCATAAAAATGAATCCAAACAAGAAGATCATGTCAAACAGGAGAGAATCGAATTACAATTGTAATGTTGTGTCTTCTAGAGTTCAATGATTTCTTTAAAAATCTCTGTTTTTAACCCACCTTAAAATTAGAATCAGAAAACATCTCAAGTGCCTGATCCTTGGTCACCTCAATCCTTTCAAAGGGTTGCCCGTCCTGAGATATAGAATTGGAAACACTATTGGGTGACACAAGGGTATGGAAAAGAAAAACATCTACTGTAAGGAAGCTATGGTAGATCGAATATATCAGACTACAGAAGAAGCAATACCCGAGAAGCATTCACAGCAAGTGCTTCGATGTTTGGAAAATGATTTTCATTTAAGCTCAGATCGCCATAAAATGCGTCGTAATAGAAACCCTGCAATAAGATTATCTTGGCACATTACAGAGGAAATACTAAGAAAAGCAGAACAATGGTTTCCTACTTGTAGCCAAAGAAACATCCAAACGAAAAAAACAGCCATCACAAGATATACAAAGCCCACCCCCAAGCAAAAAAAACTGCTCATACCTCCTCTCTAGTAGTACATGGCCCAATGCATAACTTACAGCCATACTTCTGCTCGAGAGCCTGCACCAACATGGACAGTAAACCACCAAATCATTAGGAAGAGGAAAAAAGTTCACAATTAAAATAGATGAGATCAAAGTATTTTTACCTGGCCGAGAATGTGGGCGCTAGAATGCCAGAAAGTATCCCGGCCTTTGACGCTATCAAATCTGAACATTTCTAGCGAACAATCACCTTCCAGTGGCCTATTCATGTCCCACAAAACATTGTTAACCGAAGAAATCAGGGCTGAATTTGCCAAACTGTTAGAAATCTGCCGTGCGATTTCCATTGGAGTGGTCTCCCATCTCTTCCCTTCTGTTACATTGCCATCTGGCAATGCAACCCTAAACAAACAAAAAAAAGACCAAATTGAAAAAGAAAAAAAAGCACCTTAGTATGTATATTATATGCACAAATGTATTTACTTGATGGGATCGTGCGGCAGAGACTGAAGATGCTCGAGCTGCTTGGCTTGCAACTCCTCGAAGAACCTGATACGCTTCGGGATGACGGCTGAGAGATAAGCCTCATCCTTGGGATGATGATTAGCTGAGGAAAACGAAGAATCAGAGACAATACGTTGGCCTTTGTCGCAACCAAATCCAAAATTCTTTCCGCAACAATCACGTTCCGGTGGCGCCTCCCGTCTTTTCCATTCTTTCACCTCACCATCTCTAAGTAGACAAACAAACACAAGAATTTAACAAATTGGAAAACCTAGTACATATCAACACAATCCGCATCATATATTACTTGATCGGCTCGTGAGGCGGAGACTGAAGCTGCTCCAAGATCATGAGAGGCTCCGGAATGATAGCTGAGAGATCATTGGGATGATTATCCGCCATCGATGGAGTAGCAGAAAACGAACAACTTGTCAAGTCTAGGGTTTTCTGTGGAGACCTTTTTCATCGACGCTTTCTTTTAATGTCAAAATGGGCTAACCCGGCCCATCTCGATCTGTCCCTGTTAACAAATTTATTTAGAGTCAACCCACAAACGAGGGCAAATCTCCACATTCTTTGACAAGTCACTTAGAGCATCAGCAATGGTGACATATTTTGGGTGTCTTTAAATATAAAATTATTAAAATTTGAGTAAAAGGAAGAAAGAGAGTATTTTTGGTTGAAATATTAAGGTGTATTGAAATATAAAATTAATAAATTTTGAGTAAAGAGAGAAGATAGTTGATATTTTTGGAGAGAGTGTCTATAGGAAGACATTTTGATGAGTGTTTTTGGGTGTGTTTAAATATAAAATTAATAAAAATTGAGTAAAAGATGAAAGAGAAGATATAAAATTGAAAAAAAAAATGAAAGAGAAGGTATAAAGTTGAGTAAAAGGAAGAGAGATAGTGTTTTTAATATTTGTTTATTTAAAGACACTCTAAGAGTGTCATGGTTAATGATGGCCTTAACCAATTACATGTGTCAATAACATTTT